AATCCACGCGACCATCAGACTTTAATTTATTATATATAAAATACGTCCTTTCGCGGTCCTAAGTCTTGCACGGAAACTGATTATAATAATAATAATATGCCGAATTGAAAGCGTATATTSCTATTATGTGGCCGGTAAATCAAAAACAAAAAACGAAATTCACTTGGATCGGCAAGGATGCTTAGGGGGTACCTATACATCATTGCATATATACCTAATCTACGATTATTTTTTTTCTCGCCGATCCTGAGCGTCAGGCCCGACGACTGCGGCGGCGGCGGCAGCAGCAGTGCATTCTTATACGATCTGATTTCGYAAAAAAACGCATAAATCTCAGGGCCCRTCGTTTTTGCGTCACCGAGCAGTGAGGCTATATTTTATTTTATCGATCATCACCACCGACGACGACCATATAATATATTATCACGTCGATTAAAAGCACGAGCCATCGAGTCGAAATAAATTACTTTTCACAGCCATCCTCGTCGACAGACCGCCGCCGCCTTGTCGTAATAATACATTATCGTACGATATAATATATACATATGATTCTCGTGGACTTTTCTACGGCGCGATCATTTTTTCGATTCGTTATTTTGCCGAAAAAATCGAATCATTTGTACGGACTCGTATATACAGAAGATGGGAAATAACAACTGCAGTCTCGCGTGTAACCTAATTACTGTATATTTTAGTCTCCCAATAACGGAAAAAATTCATTTTGGAAAGGTATACACATTTTGGAATACTGAGCGATTCCGTTATAAGGAGGTTTTACCTCTCACTATGTACAAATAATATCGCTTGTCGAGTCGAATCAGTGTAAAACGAATGTTGAAGTGACAAACCCGCAGAGATAATCATTAAGTACGTCGTTTGCGCACTTTCCGTGACGAAGCGTTGTGAATTAATAGTTTCACAAGAAATTGCACTGCAGTGAGTGTACAGCTCTATTTTGTTGAGTTACATCGCACTGCGTGTTTTTATAAGAATTTGGCAAAAATTAATATTTTTTAAATTCATTTATATCAAAACCACAATCCGCCATTGATGCGATGTAACCATCATTCTCACGAATYGTTACAAATAAGGCGGCGGAATGTATAATATAACGAAACGAAGAATTCAATCTAAACAAAAAGTCATTGGAAAATGTCTGGMGGAAAATGGTTTTTACCACTTTAATAAAAGATAAAAGACAACATGCACTAAAAGTCATGTATAAAAGTTATATTATAAGTATTTTAAGAGTTCGCCATAAAAATAACCGTTTATGTTTATATAYTTTATGTTGCACTAGAAGTTATTTAGTTAAAACTGAATTTTTGGTTGGAAAATCGTAAAACATTCCCATAAATCAAATACCACATCGACATTAAACGTGTAYTTCCGGCTAATCGATGCAATATTTTTGTTTCTCAAAACAATATTGTGTATAAAATATTAATAAATAAA